TTGGGTAAATCATCTGTCCTCTTGAGCCTCAATTTCCTTATCTGAAAATTGGAGTAGGTTGATATTAATAGGATCAGATATGATAATGAATGAAAAGTGCCTGCCATGAAATAAACTTAATAAATGTTAATTATTATTTAATTATTAAGTATAATAGTTTTAAGATGAACCTAAGCAGAGATTTATTAATGAGAAAATGAATGACACTGATAGTGTTTTTGCTTTCTTTCTTCGTTTTAAAAACTAAAAGTTTCAATAAATGATTAGTAGGATCATTATAAGATTATGTATGATTTTAAAGGAGTAGAAATTAAACACTCTGCAAGGTTATGGTCTAAGTAAAACCTTCACCAAATCATTTGTTAAGTTCACATATACAAATAACTGCAGATAGTCTTAAACTTGACCATTTCCTGTCAAAATGAAAGGAGTGTCTTCTCTAGAATCCCTTTGTGGGCCAAAAGGAAGCTGTAGGCAATCTAAATAGTTAGTTGTTCTTTTTTGAGAGAGTGGAAGTAAGCAAGTAGGGGTAGTACTTAACCTATGGTCTTATGAAATCGATGGATACTGTTACAAATGGCAAGTCCAGAATTTGCTTTCTCTTTTGCTCACTGTCTCCTGGTGCAAGGGCTCCCTCTGCAGGCTCCAGCAACCCCTAGATTCTGCGTGGGAAGCTGAGGCCGGCTGCACCAGTAATACCTGTTGCAATTCTTTTTATTTGTGAATGTCACTGTATCTACTGACAACAGAGCTGAAAATGCCATGGTAAACACATTTCTTCGGTACCACGGGTGCTGCATTGTGGCAGAGCCAGTGCTATCCAGTGGTCAAGTGAGTCCTGACCACACTCCTCTTACACACACTCACCTGATGGTGGAGCCTGGCAAGGGCACATGGTGCAGAACAAAAGACAGGATGCATTTTAAAGGCCCTACCACAGTAGAGAGACACCATCTCTATGGATTCACAAGGCCCATTTAGTGCCTGATAGTCCCATCTATTGAAGAGTGTGGTACATAGAAACAGGGAATGACCCAAATACCATGTTTTTGACCAACTCTAACATCCACAGACTATGTTAAGACTTGATTTAAAGTCTATCAGATCATAAATGCCTGTATCAGATTATGTTCACATAGGTCAAAAGATACAAAAAAATATTTTGATAGATAAAACATAACTATATGTCAACAATTATATGATTAAAAATGGACAACTTGGTTGAGGTACCCATTGCAGGTCCACATATAACATGGGCTCACACCCTTATAAAGCTCATTTGCCAGAGTTCACATATAAAAAGGGCCATAAGGTGTCCACAGGGTCAGCTATATGATTCCATTTAGCCTTCAGACATTTTTAGACAGTGAGGGTCAGGGGGAACTAAAAAAGAGAGAAAGAGAATAGCAGTAACAAACTTGATGAAGAGTGGTCTGAAGTAAACTCACAACTTATTTTAACTATTGTTCCTATTTGTTTTCCCATCTGGAATGTGTGTGTCTGTGAGAGAGTATTAGTATGATAAATACTAATTGTAAGGCGGCTTTGGCTAAAATCATCGCAAGGAAAGTATCATGAATTAGAGTGTCAAATTCTTTGTTAAAAGATATGGGATTTTATAAAAAATCTCCATCTGCCTTCTTACCATGTTCTTAGTTTTTTTTAAATTATGTAACACTTCGTAGATACCAAGAATATATGAAACACAATGTATAGTTATACCAGTAATAATTGAAGCCACTGGCATGTTCCTCCTCCCCTTTGCCCATCTTTCTATCCTTACAATCTCATATTTTTCACTTTATCAAGGATGAACATCACAGCAACATTTCCTCACCCTCAATGGTGAGATATTTATTAGGTATTGTTCATGGATTTTAAAAATATGCTATTAAAATATTATGAACATTAGTAAGCATATACAAATGCAGAAACACTAGTAAATTCCCACTTACCCATCGCACTTTTTCAACAGTTATAAACATCTGGTCAGTCTTTACCTGTATCCTCCATTCTCATTTCGCCTCACGCTTCCTATCCCCACAAACCCCAGGCATCACCCATATAAAGTTTTGTCATTTGACCCTCTGATGTAAGAGCTCTTTAAAACAAAACAAAACAAAACAAAAAGAAACCCTAACTGTAATAGCATTAGCAAACCTAAAAAAATATTAATAACAATTCCATAGTATTACCCTTTTTCGAATGTTAAAATTTCCCAGCTTGTCTTGTAAATTTATGACAGGTGGTTTGTTTGAATTGGGATCCAAATGATGCCCACGCATTGCATTTGAATTCACATCTTTTTTTTAAAATCAACCATTGCATGTCTTTCGTTTTTTCTTCGTACTTTCTTTGTGGATGTTCTTTTTGTCCATGAGGATTTTGCTAACGGTATCCTTTTGGTGGTGCTCAACGTGTTTTTCCATCCTTTGCTGTTTTTCTGTTTTGTTTTATAAACTGGTAGTTAGATCGAGACACCTGCTCAGATACAGGTTCAAGTTTTCTTATCTAGAGTACCTAATACGTAGGGCCATATAGTCCTATTTTGTCATATCAGGTGTCTAACCTCAACATGGAAGGAGAGAGAGAAACAGAAACACAGGAGAGGGATCCACTGTATCTGGAGTGGGGTTAAGGGTGACCATGCAAAGAAGACAATTATTTTTTGATAAAACATTCAATGATTCTGGATAAAATCTACTTGACAATATTTACTACTTAACTATGTTCTGGTTTTCTGGGTGGGCTCAAAATGGAGCAACTGCGTGAATCAGTCAGGTGTAGTTGGACACCCGCACTCAGTGAACTTACAGACACTTCCTATAAAGGACTTCCCAGGTACTCCAGAAAAGAGGGATGATAAAAATGTATGTAATGGGAGACAAGTTCATGCTCTCTACTTGGAGCTCTTGATGACTGGAGTGACCATTTAAGCTGGGAGAAAATTGGGGCCCTCGAAGCTGGGAGTCAGAAGGAGAGAGGTGTTGAAGAAATAATTAGTACCTGTGGTCTCAAAAGCAGTCAAGTAGTAAGAGGAAGAGATGGAGACTGGAGACTAGAATCGTAAAGACGGTATGTAAGCAAAAGGGAAATATGTAATTATAAAAACAGAAGTGAAAAGAATTAAGTAATAAAATATAGTTTAAAAGTTTTCCTCCCTCTTTTAAGGCCTTGTTTTCTCTAGAAGTAAGTAAAAAGTAAAGGATGGGCTATTTTTCTAGATAAACAATTACATCATTTCTTAAAATTCATGATTTTTGCCCAGTTAAAAGCTATAGGCTATTTAATATTTATCCTCCAACAGGACATGGACAAAACAAGACACAGAGCAAAGGGTTTGGGAGATCTAGGTCCAAAGCCTGGTTCTGGTTCTTTTTTTTTTCTTAATAACTTTATTGAGACATTTAATATAACATAGAAACCACCCATTTCAAGTGTACAATTCAATGATTATTCAGTAAATTTACCAAGATTACAGCTGCTACCATAAATCAGGTTTTGAACATTTGCTCCCAGTAAGATCCCTCATGCTCATTTACAGTTAAACCTGTTCCTGGCCCCGAGGCAACCATTGATTTACTGTCTCTATAGATTTGCCTTTTCTGGACATTTTATGTAAATGAAATCAAACAATATGTGTTCTCAAGAATTTGGCTTCTCTTACTGCATAGAATGTTATAGGGGTTCATCCATGTCAAAAGATGCATCTGTAGTTCATTTCTTTTTATTGCTGAATATCCCACATTTTGTCTATCCATGTGTTGTAGCAGTTGATGGACATTTAGGTTGTTTCCATTTGGGGGCTATTATGAATAAAGCTGCTAAGAGCATTGGTCTGTAAGTCTTGGTATGAACATATGTTTTCATTTTCCTCGGGTGTATACCTAGGAGTGAAATTACTAGATCATAAGGTAAATTTATGTTGAACTTTTTAAGGAATTAACTGCCATACTGTTTTCCAAAGTGTCTACACCAGCAAGATAGGAGGGTTCCACATCCTCATAGACCTGCTTCTTAATAGCTGTGCAGCCTTGGGCAAACTTTAGTTTCCTCCTGAGCAAAATTGGTAGGGTGGGGAGTTAACATTTGCCAAGTGCCTGCTCTATCCTAGACTCAGGACAGGAGCATGCGCGTTCTTTGTTTCACTTCATTGTCCTCCCCACGAAATGTAAAGATGATTTTCTACAGAGCTGATGCATGTACCGAGGCTCAGACGAGTTAAGTAAATTAGTCATCACTGTAATCGAGGATGGTTGTAAATACCAAATGACATCAAATAACATATATGAACATGCCTAGTAAAATGCTGGGCATGTAGAAAGTGGCTAATGAAGAGATTTTTATTTCTGTTTCTTCCCATTGTCATTCGCGTCTTAAATAGGCCTAACCACAGGGCCTGACTTGTCCTAATCAGATCCTACCGCTTTTCTGGTGGTAAGTCACCTGTTAGGAAACGGTCACGCTTTGGAGAGTCTGAAAAGCCTTTACAGGATTTATCTCGCGGTCACAACCACGCCAGTGGCAGATCACAGAGCCAACCCCTGACCCAAATCGCATAATCTTTGCCACATAAAATACTAAGCAACTAGTCCAGGATGGGTTATATCTTTTCATGGTTCCTTTTATTCATGTCTCATTTCTCAGTGGTGGTCATTATTTTCCCAAATTCCAGAGAAGGGAGTTCCAAAAAATAAAAAAAAGTATCTATTAAGGTTGCCAAGAAGTTAATTGACTTGGTTGCTTTGAAATGGACCCAGTTGGCTTGGAGATTGAATAAATGGCAATAAGAAATGAAAACAAAAGGAGGTAGCACTCCCTTTGTTGAGTTTAAGAAAGTGATGTGGAGCTTAGCTTAGTCAAATTCAAGGGTGTGGAGTTTTAAAATATATTTTTGATTATATAAATTTATGAAAAATATTTTTAATATTTTGATGTTTTAAATATACAGCATACAGTGTTTTAAAAAATTACTAGCTCATCATTCATTGTCTTTTCAGGGAGAGCCGGGAGTCAGAGGACCTCCAGGTCCCCCTGGGCCTCGGGGCCTGGGAACCCAAGGGCCAAAGGTGAGTCCTCAGCTCTGTGCTCTATGTGAGGCTCAGGTGCCCTCACATAGTGACAACCAAGTGAGCATTAACTTCATAGTAAGTGCTCATTTTGGTGTTTACTTATTTTTTCTTGATTACTGATGAAAAGTCTTCTGTTCTCCTGTCATGTGAACTTTCAGTAAATAGAACATTCAAGTTTATAAGCCATTCTCTTCCCCCAAAGAAAATAGTAAGCCAGTGTCTCTTAAATGACTGGTTGCAAAGTGCTCAAAATATTTCTAGGTTCCTTAGAGGCTGTGCCATCTTTAAGAAGCACACCTTTACTTTGGCCGCCGGTGCGTCAGGTGGCCTTTTAACAGGATGCCAGCTAATGTTGTGTCACATGTGTACCACGGTCAGGGCCTCGGTGCAAGGGTCTAGGTTTTTTGTCTCTATGGACGGTAAGAGAAACTTCCTTTGGCTCCTTTTGCTCTCATTTCTATTTCACTTCCTTTTGTCACCTCCAATTTGGTGACTATTCATCCTTTTGTTCTTTCTATCCAGTGTTCCTTAAGGAGGGAGATTTTGTCCTCTCTCCACACCAGGGGGAATTCTGGCAATGTCTGGAACCATTTTGGGGGGTGGGGGGTGGTCACGCCCGGAGAAGGAATGCTACTGACATCTAGTGGGGAGAGGCCAGGGATGCTGCTAAATATCCTGCGGTGCACAAGACGGCCGCCTCCCATAATAAAGAGTCATCCAGCTCAAAATGTCAATTGTGCCGAGGTTGAGAAGCCCATTTTAATTTTTCGTTCACTTGCTCAGCAAATATTTTTTTCGTTTGTTCAAAACATGAGGCAAAGAAATAGCAGGTATGTTTTTAGGGAAAACATGTTAATGAGCCCACCATCACAAATTCCCATTTTAAATGGAGGTTCTCACGCCCAAGATGCCCAAAAGTGAATTAGAATCCTGTTGTCAGAGAGGAAAGGGAAGATGCTTTGTGAGTCAAAGTTTCTGAGGATCCCAGAAGCACTAAGATTCTTTGTCTTTTGTTTGTCCATCGACTCCATTTGGGCAGTGGGCTATTTCTTGATCTCACAGATCACTCTGTGTGGGTGACAATCGCTCCAGGACGCTAGTACTTGTCATCGCTGGGTTAGGGGAAGATGGCTCTATTTTTTTCTTCAGTGTCACTTTTACTTGTTTATTTTTATTTATTTACTTATTAATTGCAAATTCCTCTTATAATCAGAAAAAATAAAGGCTTTTTTTATACTGGAAAGAAAACGTCTGACTTATACAGTAACTTTTGTTAACCCAGCATTTCTACAAAGTTTATCCCATCAAATGTTAAATTGGGAACCTCCGAGATAGGTAGACTCATCTCTATTTAGGGACTTCCTAGAGGCTTTAACATTGATATTTTCATATGTGCTGGAGAGCTCCAAGGAGAGGTACCTACTGTGGTGTAGAACATTTTCCAATCTCATTTGACCACAGTTTTTCCTCAGGAAGTATGGGGTCCACTTAATGCTATTAGGAATATATATATACTGCGAAATTGTGCCCTTTTTGCTTCTTTGACATATTTTCTTAAAAATTCAACACAGATCCACATCAATACCCACTGAATCTTTACCTGCAAGCCCGGTGAATTAGCACTCCATGCTGAAATGCAGCAGTGGGTCAAAGGCTACAGAGGTGGTGTGAGGTGGTCTTCATATCCCTGGTGCTCTAGGGGTTGGTGGTAGGGCAGCTGCAGGAGCCCAAGCTCACAAGGCTCTCGGGCCCACGCTTCTGCTTACACCAAGCAGCTCTGCCTTAAGTCTTTATTTATATTTGGATTATATGAAAGATTTTTTAGAGAGGATTTTGTGGCTTAAAATTTTTGGAAAACCACTGCTTTATGTAAAATATGACTTAGCTTATGGGCAGCATGGAGGAAGGTCCCGATCAGACTGAAGTAAGAACAAAACTAAGAGCAATAATCCACTATTTCTCCCTAAATCTTCTTACACTTGTCTGATTTCTCTCCATCTCCCAATAGGGTGATATTGGGCAGAAAGGCTTGCCTGGCCCTCCTGGTCCCCCTGGCTATGGATCACAAGGAATTAAAGTAAGTGAACATGACTGTGCTGCAGTCTCATCTCAGTCCACTAGGGTGATAGAGAAAAGCACTATTATGAAATGAATTTAATGTAAGCTTAACCATTAAAATTGCATCCAGTATTTAAAGACACCATCTAGAACTGCAAAAATGCTGTAAGTACATCTGTTTCAGGAATGCTGGACATTACGTGTATTGCTTGGTGAACAATTAAACTGTTGCCGTGGTCTGCTGGACTGCTGCGGTGGCATCCCTGGCCTTGGGAAACTGTAAAAACTTGATGGGCTCACTCCCGTGGGCACCACAGCAGCCTCCTGTCTTTCCTCTGCGGTCCCCGCAGTGGCCCAGCTGGCCCTGCCCTGCAGAGGCGCTCCAGCTCCTGAAGGCCTCGTGTCTTTTCTCAGCCACAGATGTCTATCGATTGCGTAGGCAAACATGGGACTGTGGCTCTTTGGTCTCTCAGTGGCCTTGGGGTTTCAGGTTCACAGCATAGGCCAGCAGGTTGTGTGTTGACCCATTGTGAGCCTCCAGCACTGACCTTCCCCCTAGATATGGACTCTACATATGCCAGTAATTCCCCAGGGTAAGTCAGAAGGGGTAAAGGATGGCGCTGGGTCTTGAGAGAATTCCTTAATATGTCAATTAGCCCCTGAGGGGCCAGTCCTTACAAGGGCCAGGAGGATTATAATGAGAGGGTGGGCCATTCCACTTAAAAAGCTCAGTAGAGACAGACAGAAATTTTCATTGCTGCTCAAGAATCATTTCAGTTTCCCTCTATCTTTAAGTCAGTTCCAGTGTCCTGATCAGCCCTGACATTAATACAGTATTTTTTCCCAGAGGATCAGGAGGTCCTTATAAAAATAAGATTTCTGGTGGCCCCCCATGACTTAAGAATTCTGAGGTACATTTGTGGATTGGGACTATCACCCCTGCTATGCACAAACCCTTTATAACGAGGTCATTAAAAGAATGCATTTCTGCACCACTGGCTTCCATTCCTTATTTAGTCTGAACATGGCCAATCCAGTCCTGTGGAGGGAACCCTCCCTGGGGACTGTGGCAAAGGGTAGGTTGACTAATATTTCAAGCCTAGCCGGTTTATTGGCAGTGTGAAAAAATAACTTCAATGACATGCTAGGGGAATCAGGTGAACACTATCTGGGCAGAAATCCCAGCGTCTCCAAAGCTGACAGACAGCGATGACTGCAGTTGTCCCTTGGACACAGAGCTAACAAATCAACTCCCGAGGAAATGAAGGGTAACTGTCTGAATGACCTCTCTCATCTGTCTATATTCTGACTTCAAAAGTGTAATGGAAAGAGAATGACTGTACAGCCACTCAGGCCTTTGGCTGAATCTTTCTGGCTATGTAAAGTTGGACGAATCATCTGCCTTCCTTGAACCTTAGCTTACTCATCTTTGAAATGGGGATAATAAAGCCTCTTTACAGGGAGTTGTGATGATGAAATTGTACAAACTGCCTAGAATACAGTAGTGGGTATTCAACTAGAGCTTGGGCTATGGAGTCAACAGATTTGAGTCATGGCTTCCTGAGTACTACATCTCTGGCTCAGTTTCTACATCTGAGTAATGGGGGTGATGATAGTACTATTTCCTAAAGTTGCTGTGAAGCATAAATGCAATTAAATGAAACAGTATATACAATGCATCTAACATAGGCTCAGTAGGTGGCTACTTATGCGGTAAATGTTGCAGTTACTCACATTATTATTCTTTCTTGCTTCTCTCCCCTTTTAGCTAGTGTTTCTTCTATTTTCCAGGATGAAAGTCTAGAACTCTGACATCCAAGTGATTTAATGCTCTAAGACATAAAATATTGGTTGCATTAATTAGTGTAGGCATGGCTTCAGAACCCAAAAGACCCCAAAGAGTATAACGGCTCAAACACAATAGAGCTTTTTATTCACATAATAGGCCATGTGCATGTTCCTTGTTGGTTGTCAATTTTCTTCCACATAGAATTTCAGAACCTCATCTCTGACTTACTGTTCCTTCATCTGCTGGGCTTCTTTTACATTTACACCCAGCAAACACAAAGAGAGAGTGTGGAAGAGGCACACTTGCTTCTTAGACGTCTTGGTCAAGAGGTGACAGACATCACCGCCGATCACATTTTATTGACGAGAATTAGTGTCATGGAAAGGGAGTCTAGCTGTGTGCCCAGGAAGAAGGGAAGCATGGGTTTTGTGAATGGCTGGCATTTGCTGCCACAAATAATTTAACCCGTTTCTAGGTAAGATGGAAAGATTTGTTGTCCTGAAGTCCATTTGTGGTTCCAGAAGAGAACAGGACACAAAGGTGGTCTCCATGGCAACCTCCAAAATGCCTCCTCACTCTCCTGATTATTGATTGCTTAGACAAATATGGGACTGTGGCTGTTTGGTCTTGCAGTGGCCTTGGTGTTTCAGGTTCACAGCATAGGCCAGCAGGTTATGTGTTGACCCATTGTGAGCTCCCAGCACTGACCTTTCCCCTAGATATGGACTCTACATATGCCAGTAATTTCCCAGGGTAAGTCCCCAGGGTAATTGCTGGGACACATTCACCTAGGCTTACAATGACTGAGTTCAGCCCTATCATTTTTTTTTTCTTATCTTTAAAAGAAAACTTGATATCTTCTTATTTATTTCAAGCAGCGTCAGGAGCACCAGTGGGTGATTTAGAAATTGTTTTGGGTAGACAGCCTGAGTACCACATAAAGAGTTGGACAAGGCTTAGGATTCAGTGGGACCAGGACATTTTCATTTCTGTCTATGACAAGGTCGGGGTCAGAGGATGAGGGACACCTGAAACCTGGAAGAGAGCTGTCATTCAAATGCTGGGCAGAGATGAGCGTGGCATCAGAGGAGGGAGGTAGAGCTGCCCTGAAGAGCCTGAGGTTGGGAGATAAAGAGGACCCAGTGATAATGGTCCTGTGGAGAATCAGGGAGGGTGGGAATCCTAGGGGATTACTTGGGAGGGGCCTGTAGCATTTGAGACAGGAGGGGTGTGGTGGTGGGTGGGTCAGCCCAGTTTACAGGGCCTAGCGAAGGGGCAGCCGGAACAAAAATGGCTTCTCCCACCAATGTGCTCTGATGAGAAATTCAGGGTAGAAACTTGAAGGTTCTTCGCTCATTGTTTAAGGTTAATATCATTTCTTAGGCAGGTTTTTTCCTTTTGTTTCAGCTGTGTCAGGGTAACCCTGGTTCTGTAAACTCCAGGAGCACTTTTTACTGAATCAGGTATTTTTGCCACCTTTGGTGTCCCTTCACGAGAAAGAGTAAAACTTGAAAGAATGTCAGCATACTGTGGTGGAAATCTCACATGGAGCCTGCCAGCCTTCTGCTGGGCTCCTACCTGGGACCTGCCTGATCTCTTGGAAAGGATTTCTGGAATCCATTCGACTAGATTTTTATAGAGAGGACCCGTTACAGCACGGAAACTTGTCCCCCTTAAAGGCCAAATAGAAATGATTTACTTATTGAAATGAAGCTGACCTAAGGGGAGAAGGAGTCCCATTTATAAAAGGTGCTGGGTATGTTCAATATACGCTAAGTTGCAAATATCTGCAAAAAGATTAAGAGGTAATGACATTAGGAAGTTGTGCTAGTTTTCTAAATTTATAACCATGTGCATAATGTTAATATTACAAAAGGAGCAATAAACACACACATTTAAATAGGATGACTTTTTTGGTGTTTTAATTTAAAGTTTTCTTCCCCCTCCTGACTGTAAACAAACTAACAGCAGCAAAAACAGAAAACAAAACCAGCCATGGTAATAGTGTGTTCACAGCATTCAACCTGTACACACCTTAGAAATTAAATTGAAACAGTAAGGAATACTGTAGTTAACAGCATAACATAGACTGTGTATGTGTTTATGTCAGAAACTATCTTTGAATTAATTTCTAATACCTTTTTTGTGTTACAATATTAAAATTCCAACAATGATTTCTCTGCATAGAAAGGAGCTGTCAGAACCCCACAGGTTTGTTTTCAAAGAGCTGAATGTTTTGTGATCACACCTGCCAAATGCCTGTGGCAGAGAGGGCTGAAAATTAATCGTGGCTATCAAAGTCTACAAACCTAGTTTCAGACACTGAAGGCCTCCCTGATATCATTTTAACCTTTATTATTTTTAAACCAAATTAAAAACAATGATATGGGTTACCAACCAAAGCCAAAACTGCTGATCCCACAGTATTCTCTGTACAGGTGGTAGATACCAGGGAAACTTTGCTTTAATTAACTGGGGCTGGCTCTGGAGCCAATAGTATTACTCACTCATTGGTTTACACTTCCATTTCCTCCTGGGCCATTTAGGAATAAGGATGTTGCTTTGTTTTTGTCTGTTTTTTAATTTCTGAATCTGAATCTGAGGCTATGATAGGGCATTTTCCTTTCTCAGTGTCTTTATTAAATTTCCCATTTTAATAGCCAATTCCCCAAATGAGAACTGAAATGGAAGCTTTAGGCTCTCAATTCAATGGGCCTGGACCCATCAGTACCAGCATATATTTCTTGTTTATTCACCATGAGCAAAGTCTTAGGCAATGGCAAGTGACCATGTTCCTTACACTGCCAGGCACCTAAAAGGAAAAATGAATCCTTAAATCAATTTTTGCAAAGTAAATATTGAATCCTACCCAAGGTTGATTATGGTTTCCCAATTCCCAAGAAAATTCAAAAGGACTGAAGACTTGGTAATAAAGACAATGTCCAATGTCATGTGCTAATGGTGAATATTAAAAAAAGAAATAGATAAAAAGATTTAAGTTATCACCAAAAGTAATAAAATTATATGACACAGTTAAGCAGTTATCATGAATTTCACTGTTGAAAATTTAGGAGTTATTTTATCTTTTCCCACCCATCAATGCTTAGCTAGAAGTAAGTTGCCAGTCTCCTTTCAGCAAGGGAAGAAATACTTTTACTACTCAGAGCTTTGTTCTCGGGGAAAGAAGTGGGACCATAATACTATTCTCTAAGTTTCATGCATTATCTTAT